GTTCAACTATCCGACGGACCCTCCTCTCCAGGACCCCTGAATAGACCTTACCACGGAGGCTTAAGAGTATGACGATATAGGTGGAGCACACCCTCCGGTCCCCCTTTTTAAACAGGGGGACCACCACCCCAGTCTGCCAATCCAGGAGTACTGCCCCCGATGTCCATGCAATATTGCAGAGTCGCGTGAGCCAACACAACCCTACAACATCCAGAGCCTTAAGGAACTCCAGGCGGATCTCATCCACCCCGGGGCCCTGCCACCGAGGAGCTTTTTGACCACCTCAGTGACCTCATCCCCAGAGATTGGAGAGCCCAGCCCAAAGTCCCCAGGCTCAGKTTCCTCAACAGAAGGCATGTTGGTGGGATTGAGGAGGTCTTCAAAGTATTCCGCCCACCGGCACACAACGTCACGAGTTGAGGTCAGCAGTACACCATCCCCACCATAAACAGTGTTGGTGTTGCACTGCTTCCCCCTCCTGAGACACCGGATGGTGGACCAGAATCGCCTCGAAGCCATGCGGAAGTCTTTCTCCATGGCCTCTCCAAACTCCTCCCACACCCGGGATTTTGCCTCAGCGACCACCCGAGCCGCATGCCGCTTCGCCTGCCGGTACCCATCAGCTGCTTCTGGAGTCCCATTGGCCAAAAAGGCCCGATAGGACTCATTCTTCAGCTTGACAGCATCCCTCACCGAAGGTGTCCACCAACGGGTTCGAGGGTTGCCGCCGCGACAGGCACCAACAACCTTGCGGCCGCAGCTCCGATAAGCCGCCTCGCCAATGGAGGTATGGAACATGGCCCATTCAGACTCAATGTCCCCTACCTCCCCCAGAACGTGTTCAAAGTTCTGCTGGAGATGGGAGTTGAAGCTCCGTCTCACAGGGGACTCCACCAGACGTTCCCAGCAGACCCTCACTACARGTTTGGGCCTGCCAGGTCTGACCGGCTTCCTCCCCCACCACCGGAGCCAACTCACCACCAGGTAGTGYTCAGTGGACAGCTCCGCACCTCTCTTCACCCGAGTGTCCAAGACATAGGGCCGCAGATCCGATGAAATGACGACAAAATCAATCATCGAACTGCGGCCTAGGGTGTCCTGGTGCCAAGTGCACATATGGACACCCTTATGCCTGAACATGGTGTTCGTGATGG